TTAATCGCCGTTCTAATCTAATGCGCTGCTGCACTGTAACGCACACACATAGGCTACAGACAGTAGCTCGTACATCACGCACACATCGTGTGCGCACAGAATCATTCAGCGTGGAAATGTATTGTCAACACTGTTCTGTGATTTCTCAATAAAATAGCTTAGAAACTGAAAAGTTCAAGCATATATTTCTTAATAACTAAATCCCACAGCTTCACTACTAGTAGAGAGACGCTGCCAGGTAGAACTAATTCAGACACGCAATCGCTCTCACTAGTGCATTCATATGAATGTAATCTTTACTGTGCTGCTTTATCTGTATCTGATTTAGAACGAGCAGAAATCTGTGAGAAATATAACGACCCAAAGACAAAAGAACTGATAAAAATTAGCTGTTATAGGAGCAATAGCCATGTGGGCAGCACTGTGTCATATGCCATAGCTGTGCACAAGGTGTTTGTCACAGCTCCAGACTTATTTGTTCATTAATGACGTCATCAGCGACTAGTCGACTTCGACTCGACTTTCATCACATAAAAGTCGACTTTAAAAAATCAGAAGTCGTTCAACCCCTAGTGCTGGGTGGGACAAGAAAAATACAAAACTGACAGAATCATCTCCAACGGTATTCAAGGGAAGGATAAATTAAGACAAAACGTGGCCATAAGTTTGTGGATAATAGGTTTGGCTGTTTTAGATGGTATTAACACAAAATCTTCTTACGAAAAATGATTTCTTAAACTTTATGAAAGATGTTTATAAGAATAATCCTAAGAGCAATTATTGAAAAATTCAGAAATATTTTCATAAATATTTTTTATTAAGATTAAGAATAAAATGACAGACTCTGCTTCCAACTTGCCCTAGTTCCCCAAAGGTAGAGTTATCATAGTTATTATAGTTAATTAAAACTTAAAAAAAAAATAATAATAATTCAATTGCTTAATTAAAAAAATTCAATTACTTAATATTTAACAGAAAAAATGTTGTCAAGACAACATTTCTTATTTTCATTTAGTTCATTATTAAAAACTATATAGACATATTTAAAAAAAAAAGACAAAAACACAACAAAATTACTAAAACCTTAACGAAAATTTAAATGAAAACAGAAAATATAAAAATAAATATTAATACATTTAATATTAATAAAAATGTTAATATGTCAGTTATACTAAAATAACACTGGTTGTTAGGTTAAAAATGATATACATTTACAATTAATTTTAAGAAACAAATGTAAACAATTCTAATTATTATTATTAATATTTAGTTTTGTCTTAACAGAACAATCTTAAAAAATGATTTTTTTTGTGAATACAAAATATTCTAAATTTTTTTTCTAGACCCAACTCAGTCAGTGACTTTATCAGCAGTCGTAATTCCGCTAGTATTTTTCCCATTCATTAACATGTTTTATGATCTAGACAGACCGTGAAGCACTGCAAATGACATATAAAAAAAGATAACAGTCCAATATAGGGTGGCCATATGTGTCATTTATATGGGACATGTCCTGGCCATGATTTTTATATTGCCTAAAACATCCAAAGTAGTTTGACCAATAACATGCAGGTATTGTACATAATCGACCAATCGTGGCGCGTCACGAGTGAGAAGGTGAGAACGATCAAAGCGATGCAAATGCACACACGTGTTTGTTCGTTCGTTTGACTTGAAGCTGCGCGCCGATCGTTGTATGACACCAAAGTACCGTGAGAGTGATTTGAAAGCATAAGGAGCCGTCTGCTCTGCTCTCTAATAGCTCTCGTGAAATAATGTCATAAAACGATCGATCTGCACAGTGCTAACAGCCAAAACCTGGATATTTTAGGCAATATAGAAATCCTGGCAAGGGTGCGTCCCGTACAAATGGCCCGTATGGTCACCCTAGTCCAATATAAAATTCTCTGCCTGATTCAGAATTGTGGGTAGTGTAGTTCTTTACAAAGAAATTGTCTATTATACCTGTTAAAAAAAAAATACAGAAGCACATCCCATCATGCAGTGCTAACATTCATGGATCTTCCAAAACCAAGTCAACTAATCTGTCATGTATAACTGTCTTCATTTGCAAAGCCATGATATATGTGTGATCTTGTTTGGTAGGTTCTCTTTACACCGTTGCCGGTTGTGCATGTGTATGTGGTGAGCAGCACCACAGAAACCAAGGCGCCCATTAATCTGTACTCCTGCCCAGTGTACAAGAAACCAAGACGAACTGACCTGACATACATCTTTTCACTGTTGCTCCGGAGCAGCCAGAACCCAGACCACTGAACACTGAGGGGAGTCGCTTTGCTCTGTGACTGTAAATAAACCCATAATCTGGTCCAAAGCTATTTTCACTCAAGAAGCAAGATAAAAAAAAAAAGAAATATATACAAATCAAAAAACAAAAACAGGAAACCTGCAGATGTTATTTCGCTGTTCTGTGAAAAATTATTTCTCTGTTGGTAAACTTCAATTTTTTTTTCTCAATTTATTATCAATAATATGACTTCACTTGTTTTTTATATTTGTAATATACTGACACTTCTGTTTTATATTTTGTGACTATTATTTTGCCATTCTGCTTTGGTGTGTTGAAATTGCACTCACACTTGAATTTTCATGTGAGATGGAAGGGATTTTATTGTGAAATATGTATTTTGTTTTTTTTCCCCTCTTGTTTGAAAGCAGCAATAAAAAAGTTGAAATATACACAATTATTTGCACATGCAGCTGAATGTAGCAGTTTTCTTTGAACTATTCAGAAATGCCTCTATAGTAGTCTACTATTTGGGATTACTATTTTTGCAGTGCATTTATGTTAATTCACATTAACATAATGTGCAGCGGTGTCCGAACTATGTGTATATATGACAAAAATAATATATAGAAGAAACATCATTGTTGCATTACAACTAGTGAGCTTGAGTGTAGTATTCTTTATTCACACATGCATTTATCAAGCATATCATAAAACTCAAAGTGTGATTAAAACAATGTAAAGACAATCTCATGGTGCAGTCAGTCCAGGATTTTTATCAGTACAACCATGTTGTCAGTGACAATTTTCTCCATCCCCCAATAAAAAAGGTTGGACACCTGCATAATAGGAAATAAAAAGTGCCATACAGCAACACTTTATTTTACCACTGAGATCCTTAGAATTCAGACTGATTGCAAAACTCTTATAATCAGTCTTGATTACTAATACACTAAATGCATTTTTCCCAGAAACTCTTCAGAAACCAGCTGTTAGAGTTAATGTTTATTTAAAAATGTTGACTGCAAAAGTTGTTTTTCAGAGTTTACACAGAATGGCACAGAAAAATATTGTTTATAAATGACTTGTCTGCACAGTTAGTTATATTCCAAAAACCACTACAACATCTAAATTGAAAAATTTAATTCTAAACTCATTCACTGTTGACATGCTGGATGTCAGTCGACACCAGAATATATGTGAAGTTCATTTTTCATTTCATTTCATTTTTAATTTCAAGTTCTCCAGAGAAAGTCCAAAATGCACTTCTCTGTGAATTATTTGTAAATTCAGCTATTCAAAGAAATTTCTTTAAAATATTTTACACACACCTAACAAATAATGTCAATTCGTACATTTGTCAATTCCTATCATCTCCTACCTTGATTTTTCATGATGCTGCATCCACTCCCATAGGTGGCAGTATAAAGAAGAAAATCATTGCGAACACCATGTTTTTAGTTTAACAAATTAAAAACCATCGCCTAGTCATCTCAGTACATTGGTTTAACATTCATAACCCTTCATAGTCCATAATAGATGTAAACAAGAAAATCCACAAAAAAAAAACACCTCTGGGTATTGTTTGTAACGTACAACTTCCTTATTTCGTTCATTCAGTTGTCGTAAGAACCATCCACTTATCCACACACTTAGAAGCAAGATCTCTGATTTTCCCAATCTTTCCACCTTCAAGTTCTCCATAATCAAATTCATATCTGTACATTAGTCTTTCCCAAATGTGACTGTCAAGGCTTGCCGCTTAAGAAAGCTGCTTCATATCATACATTGGCACTTCCGATTCCTCGCCCTTGCCCTCATCTGGACCTTCTTGTTTCTCCGTTGGCTCTGTGTAGGCCACACCAGGGCTGGCCTTGCGGCCCTTCGGTGGTGGGATTGGTGCCATTCCTTCCGTGGTCCCTTCAGCTCCCTCCTGACCTTCAGCCACCGTCCTTTCCTTCTTCAGGTTGAGTTTTGCTGGCACGGTTTTCGTGATGGTTTCCTTGAAACGCTCACCAGACTGTTTCAGCCGTTCCCCAGACTGGCGGATTTTCTCACGTCGTTCGGCTGTTACTATGCGCTCACCCAGCTTGTTGACCTTGGTGCCCAGATTCTCTTTGGTCTTAGTCATGTTCTCACGGGAGAAGGTCTGCTTCAGGCTTTCGATGCGCTTCAGGCCGGTCTTCTTTAGTTTGGCAGCAGTAGACGAGTCGGCCTCCTCAACGACCATGTATTCCTCATCCGAGTCGGGAAGCGGAGCCTCCGGGACATCTGGGTCTATGGGAGAGTCTCCACCTGTTGCTCCCTTTGTAGATGCTTTAGGAGCAGCTACAGCTGGGACCTCATTATCTCCCTGAGGGAAGAGAATACATTTATCATAAATTTACCATACTTTTACCACGTATAGCACAGCTGAGACCTTAAATCAAATGGTTTTAGACTATTTAAAAGATAAAAAAAAAGAAAAGAAAAAAATGCACATAATGAACAACCCATCCCATGAGTGTAACAGTGGGGGTCTCCAAACTCGGTCCTGGAGTGCCCTGCAGAGTTTAGCTCCAACCCTAATTAAACACACCTGAACCAGCTAATCAAACCATAGTAATGAATGGGAAGTGCCATAAACTGACTCCCAGCTGTCGCAAAAAGTCAGTGACGTGTCACTGTTGTGGTAAACTCTAAAAATGGTTCAATCCAAAAGTATTGTTTACTGTAAAACATGTTGAAGATTAGCAGATAGGCTGTCGATTCATTAAACGATAAGCTGTTTCCTCTAAAAAGCTGTTTATTCAGCATAGTGAAGCCACTCCTCCATTGACATCCATTAAAAAAAAACAGCCTCTGGTCTCCTTTCCCACGTACTGCCAGACCGGAAGCGTTAGCTTTAGCCGTTATGCTTTTTCGGCTAATGGTAAGAGACTGAGGTCTCTGCAGAGCAAAAGTGGGCGTTTCTTTTGTGGGTGTTTTCAAACTGCAGGGTGTTTCTCAATCATGCAATCAAAATGATCCTCCTTACCTAACCCCACCCCTAAGCCTACCGTCACTATGACGTCAGCCAATCAGGAAACATGGTCTAAAAACGCCCAGATCTGGTAACTCCCATTACTTTCCTGCAGAGACCTATACTTGGAATACGCGGTTATCGGTCCGCCAATCAGAATCAAGTATTCCAAAGCCGTTTAATAACTTGCCAAAGCCGAAACCCAGACGACGATGAAATAATTTCACATTTGGTGTGGGTTCACCATTTGATATCAAACATAATGTAAGGTAAAATATGGGTTCTAAGCAAAGTTGAGAATAACAGTTGGCTATTCAAATAAAAAAAACGTAGGCAATATCTGCACAGCAAACTGTTGCGCTGTGAATCTGTACACGTATCGGATTGCACAGTGGTTTGCAAATAAAGATCAGGTATATTTTAAATCTGTTTCGAAAGAGTTTAGATTACATTAATAGTGTGCTGTTGCATAACTCGCACATAACATTAACCTATCATAGCTCAGTATATAAAAAGGCTAATAGCTATAAGTGAATCAAGTTACGTGACTCACTCAGTCATGGACTCAAACCAGTTAAGTTACCACTTCTGATAAATACTGCGCTTTATACACAAACAAAATGAACATTTTTATATATATGAAAAAGACTATTGATAACAAACGGCCAGTGTTCAATCGGTTATTAAAGATTCTGTCGACAGATTTTTTAACCGTCACTCTGACAGACGCGAAAGCACTATATTAGGACATGAAGCTTCAGTTCAGCTCTCAGAATAACCCTGAACAAATCTGTCAGCTGTTCTCCTCACGGTACAAGAGATCATCAAACCCATGGGCACTACTTAAAAGTAAGATTGTTAGAGAAAGAAAATATTAACCAATTTGAGTACACTAGTTGCCTATTGATATGGAAAATGGAGAACACTAGCCTATTTCCTATGATAAATCTTCAGAAAATTAACATAAATTTTCAACTAAAACACTGTAATTGTAAATTTTCCATAATTATGTATCTGAAAACATAACAGTAAATTGAATTTTATTTGAGTAATGCAGTGTCTTAAATTCAAACCTACCTACAGAATATTTGCAACGGACTTGCAGCTTTTACTATCATAGTTTCAGAAAATCCTCTCTTAAAAATGTATGAAAACATTATGGTATTATTAAAAAGGTTTTAGATAAATTGTCAATAATTTTATTTTTAATCCTATTTTTTAAATTGTTATATCCTATTACTATTGGGCTATTTAAAACCTAAAAAAAATAAAATAAATAATAATAATTGTGCTGATTTTTATTAATTTAATGCATTATTACGTGCTTTTGTACACAGTAATTGGGCTGTCACAATACAAGCTCCCAAATAATTCTCAAGCTATTTCAAACAATAGCAGATCCATTGCAGATGTATGAAACAGTATTTCCACATTTAGCAATGACACATTCCTCCATGATGTCATAATTCTGTACTCAATCTGATTTCGGACATCTACGTTTTAAACAACAGCAGTATTCCAAATAAGGCTTCATAGTTCATTCTCTTATGAACTAAAGAGTGTATAATAATTCATTTTTACTCCTTCATGGATCACATTACATGGTTTATCTGTGTGTTACTCCAGACATCCTGCCACATATCAGATAAAATGGCCGCCAACCTAAACCTCCTTTCTCAGTGGGGACTGGCAGAACATTCCTGCTGTATTGCTTTTGGCTGTAGGCCACATGACCTTCTAATGTACCAGGATTTATCTTGGATCACCTTGTATCTTGAAATAATCTGTCTTATCTTTGATAACCCCCTTTGCTCAAGTTGAAATGTTGTAGGACAAGCTCGAAGAGTCAAAAATGATCAACCATGATTGAAGGAAAATGGTCTGGTATTGTAAGGTATACTTCCAAAATTAGACCTGATTTAGAGATCCAAACTTCATGTGGAACCCAGAAAAACCCAGTCCAAAAGCTGAAATGTTGTAGGACAAACTAAGAGTCAAAAAACAATCGATGCATGGAGTTTCAGCCATGAGCAAAGGAAAAAGTTCCACTATTCTAAGGTACGTTTCCAAAATTGGACCTGCTTTAGAGATCCAACCCCAAAAATCCAATCCAAAAGAAAACATTCGCATGCCAGTAAAAGCAAAGAGTCTTACCTGGTAGATGACGACACGAAACTTGTTCTTGTTCAGCAGCTCGACTTGGGTTTCCTCCACCTTCTTGACACGTATGTTCTGCTTCTCCACCCGTACACGAACGTCCTTGACGTGGCAGCTGACTTTGCGTGTTTTCTCTAGAAGTTTCTCCACAGTGCTACTCGTCGCTGTGTGCTCCTTCGTCAACTTCACCACGTCCGCCTGGATGGTCTTCACGGTGTTCTCCAGCTCCAGCTGCTGCTCCTCCATGCGTTGCTGGCACGCCTGCACATTGTCTATGATCCCGGACACCCTCTCCAACAGAGTGAAGATGTTCAGGGCGCTGGGCTCGTCCGCCACACCTGCCAGTGCCAGTTTGTCGGCCATGCTTGTCCTTGTAACCCAGTGAGGACCCTAGACTAGAACTGTCGAAGGTCCTGCTTTGGTGGATTTCTGTTGGTGCACAAGGGGGTATTGGGTTATGGGGTGGGTTGCTGAATCATGGGGCCGTGGTGGGCCCTGGAAGACGCTTGGATGAGACGGACTCGCCCTCTGACTGGAGCTTCATGGACGTTCTGGAGAATATAGAAGCTCCACCCTTCCTGTATATGGGGAACACAAGGTTCAAAGGCCAGACACACAGGGATTGACTAGAAAAGAGGGCAGAGGGGTTGGAAGGAGGCACCAAACCAACTCGCCATGAATTCAGCGTTATAAATATCCACAGTAAGGTGACACGTTGTCATTTTTAGAAGATGCATGTGCAGCTGAGATAATGGAAACCCCCTTCGTTCTCAACCGCACTATTTATTTTACAAAGAGCTATGTTTCCTCAATGAAAAGCTATTGGCATGGTCATATTTTGTTAAAAATAATAGCACAAACAATACCAAGATGTTCTATCACTGATAGTCACCTGATTGTCCAACTTTGGACAAAAGGTTTCAGCTTTACCATTACCAAGTTTGGAAAAATTCACAACTGAGGGAGCAATTTGCCTACAACCATGTCCACAATGCTTTAAGATCAACCTCAAGCATGATTTTGACATCCATGTTGTGACCTGGGGAAGATGATCCACCTTAAGATGGACTGTCCAAACCCGTGAAATGATGCCACCAGCTGCAGTCTATTCTTAAACCCCGAGCCGTCTATAATTACTCATCACCCATGTTGTGACCTGGGGAAGATGATCCACCTTAAGATGGACTGTCCAAACCCGTGAAATTATGCCACCAGCTGCAGTCTATTCTTAAACCCCGAGCCGTCTATAATTACTCAACACTCATGTCATAGCTGAGCGAGGCTTACTTAATTCTCCAGAACTCTTCATTCAGCTGATACTCGACACCACTTTCCTACACACGAAATCTCACGTGAGCAAACAGTCAAAGTTTTGTGGTCAGATCCTTTTTCTGCAAATAGCTGCTTCTCGATGCAATCTGTCATTTTAAAATTCGAGAACCCAAAATGTCACACTTAAAGGGATAGTTCACCCAAAACCAAACCTTTATGGCTTTCTTTCTTCTGTGGAATACAAGAAGATATTTTGAATCATGTTTTTGTCCATACAACTGACATTTTTCAAAATATCTTCTTTGTGTTCAACAGATAAAATGTCATACAGGTTTGGAACTAATATGGATATTCACTCCTAATATTTGGAGTGAATAATCCCTTTAAGACATCAAGATCCGTTTTAAAATTGTACAGATGTCCAAACTGGTTCAAACCTGAAGTCTTGACACATGATGCTAATGATTATAAGATGTCAAATTATGAAGTACTTGAACTGGATACTTAAAATTAGATTACTCAGAGAGATTGTATGACTTAGTACAGGCCACATCTGAATTACGCGAGGTTTAACAACTAAGTTTACACCATGTCTATGTGTACAGCCATCAAAAATATCTGCAAGACAGAATTAAATTTTATTAAATCTACAGCACTGGACACAGTTTAACAGGTCATGCGATATGCAGTTCATTGAATTAAATTAATGTCAATAATGTTTGTTTCAACATTAACAACACCGATAACATTAGAACATAAAAACTACAAACATTTCAACATTGATAAGTATAGCTAGTCAAACACGTTGCATTTCATTCTCTGGAATTCCCTTCAAAAGAAACTGGAAACGTCATCACTTCGTTGGCGCACTTGTTCATGTCCAATTAAATTTGGTGTTCAGCTATGTTTGATTTGAGGAAATAAAAATCAAATCAAATCAAAGGGGGCAGTTAAAGACAGTTCAGAGTTAATATTTTCAGTAAAGGAGCACATTCGATGGGAATAGAGGACGTCCGTATTTGTGGTACAGTTTGTGTGCCGAGAGTTACATTTAACAATATGTGAAAAAAACCGGTACCACAATCTAAAGGAAAAATAAAAACAAAAACAAACAAAAAAAAATCTTGACAAAAAAGAGCTAGCTTTTATCATTCGACAGTGTTTGTCACTGACATCAAGTGCCTAAAATGTCCTGAAAACAAAACAATAAGGCACCATCCAATAAAATAAAAATAAAATTGACAATAACCTTATTGTCCAGAGTCAAGAAAGCACAAAACAAAAAAGCACATTAAAACTGTAATCCACTCGGTACAAAAAGTATAAAAAATAAAAATAAAAACAAGCTACATCATCCTTGAAGAGGCATTTGATGAAAAGTTCTGCTTTTGCCGTCTTCCACGAATGGCAATCTGCACGGCTCCAATGATAGCAGCTATGAGCACATAATGAAGTTTCTGACCACTGGGTACGACATACAGGATGTTAAAGTCAGCGATCTCATCACACTGTGTCCCCGTGTAACCTGAATCACACCTGTGGAAATACAAGAAACCATCTGAAACTCATTTTCCAACCAATGTCCTTTTTTAATGAACACCTGAAAGGATGCACACGGTTCTGTGCAATCAAATACGAGACGCTCACCGGCAGGAGGCGATGCCGTAATTAAATTCACACTGGCCATGAACGCAGAAGTTGGCGTAGTCGTCCGTGCAGGGAACGGGTTTCCAGCCGTATCCTTTTCCTTCACCGGCTTTTGCTGGGTCTAAAAATACAACAATCGTTTTTAAACTCCATTGCTGAAAGTAGCAGATTTAGCTTTGTTTTAACACTTAAATATACAGCACTATAAGATTGAGGACTGCAGTTTATTAAGGGTATGTGACAGTTTGATGCATTTTAGAAGAAATGTTTCTTAAGCAGCAAATCAGTATGCTACAATGATTTCTGAAGGATCATGTGACTCTGAAGACTGGTGTAATGATGCTGAAAATTCAGCTTTGCATCACAGGAATAATAAAGCAATAAGCCCCGTGAAGCCGTGGTTTACAGTGAATTTATAACAGCTAAGG